ATATGCGTATTACTATATTTATATAAATATATAGGCAACACATGTGTATTACTATATGTATAGTAAGATATAGGCAACACATGTGTATTACTATATGTATATTACTATATAGGCAACACGTGTGTATTACTATATGTGTATTCCTATATTGGCATCACTTGTGTATTACTATATGTATATTACTATATAGGCATCACATGTGTATTACTATATGTATATTACTATATAGGCAATACATGTGTATTACTATATAGGCATCACAGGTATATTACTATATGTATATTACTATATAGGCAACAGATGTGTATTACTATATGTATATTACTATATAGGCATCACATGTGTATTCCTATATGTATATTATTATATAGTCAAAACTTGTTTATTACTATATAGGCATCACATGTGTATTACTATATGTATATTACTATGTAGCCAACACATGTGTATTGCTATATGTATATTACTATATAGGCAACTCATGTGTATTACAATATGTATATTAATATATAGGCATCACATGTGTATTACTATATGTATATTACTATATAGGTATCACATTGGTATTACTATATATAGTAAGATATAGGCATCACATGTGTATTACTATATGTATATTACTATATAGGCATTACATGTTTATTACTATATGTATATTATGATATAGGCATCACATATGTATTACTATATGTATATTACTATAGAGGCAACACATGTGTATTACTATATGTATATTACTATAATCATCACATGTGTATTACTATATATATAATACTATATATGCATCACATGTGTGTTACTATATGTATATTACTATATAGGCAACACATGTGTATTACTATATATATATTACTATATAAGCATCTCATGTTTATTACTATATGTATATAACTATATAGGCAACACATGTGTATTACTATATGTGTATTACTATATAGGCAACACATGTGTATTACTATATGTATCTTACTATATAGGTAACACATGTGTATTACTATATGTATATTACTATATAGGCATCACCTGTGTATTACTATATGTATACAACTATATAGGCAACATATGTGTATTCAGTCAGTTATGCATCATGTGTGATACACGCTTAGGCGTTCATGACTGAAAGAGGCAGTTTTTTTCCTGCAGTAGGTTTCCATTTCTTTCTCATGGCAAAGTTATGCTGGTGTTGGCGTGGAGTTGAAGAAGAGGTTTCACCCCTTTCCCAAAGGTATTTGCACGTAAGTGAATGTAATTGATTCGACTAGAATTCGAACTCGGCTTCCGCACTCTGAGCCGCTGTCCATTTCTTATACTATATGTATATAGGGAGGAACGGTTCAGTAATGTATAACGGCTTTGTTCGAATTCCAGTCGTATCCATTACATTCACTTACGTACTAATACCCTTGTAATATTCTTCTCCACCACCCTCCATCTATGGGTAAATAGTAAGACAGACCGGGTTCTATAGCCTTAGATAGCAACTGGTCTACTACAGAAAGAAATGACAACCTAGTGCGGGAGAAATCTGCCTCGTCAGTCATGTATCGAAAGTGATCGCCTAAGCGTGTATCACACATGGCACATAACTGACTGATATGTATATTACTATATAACATCACATGTATATTACTAGATAGACATCACATGTATATTACTATATATATTGTGTCACATGTATATTGCTATATAGGCGTTACATGTATATTATAATATAGGCATTACATGTATATTACCATATAGGTATCACATGTATATTACTATATAGTCGTCACATGTATATTACTAGATAGACATCACATGTATATTACTATATAGGCAACACATGTATATTACTATATAGGTGTCACATGTATATTGCTATATAGGCGTTACATGTATATTACTATATAGGCGTCACATGTATGTTACCATATAGGCATCACATGTATATTACTATATAGTCGTCACATGTATATTACTAGATAGACATCACATGTATATTACTATATAAGCGTCAGATGTATATTACAATATAGGCAACACATGTATATTACTATATAGGCGTCACATGTATATTACAATATAGGCATCACATGTATATTACTCTATAAGCATCCCATGTATATTACTCTATAGGCATCGCATGTATATTACTATATAAATATCACATGTATATTGCTAAATAGGCATCACATAATTACAACTTTCAAAAAGACAACACTGAAATGAAAATAACAGTGTTTAACAACAAACGCTTGATAATGGCAAAAGAGTGGATCACTAATTGTTTAAGGGATTCGAATATTTTAAATATTATATCCGAATTTAAATAAAGAGGCTCGACAATTATTTATTTTGGAATTTTGCTTGGAGTTAAGAAGTCGAAGTAAAAGTTTTAAATACGATGATTATGATCATCATATTTTATGCTACTCGGTTAAAACTCAATCGACATTGTCTGCTGTATTGATGGACAATTCTTGGTTTGTCTTGGGTGGAGGCTTAGTGGTAATGATGTCCACATCCTAAAATTACGCTTGACTCCAAGTTCATCATATCAGAGAGAGAAAGAGAAAAGGAGAAAGAGAGAGAGAGAATATACACTGAGAAAGAGAATGTAAAAGAGAGTGAGTGAAGAAAATAGTAAAAAATGGTGAGTGAAGAAAATAATGAAAAAGAGAGTGGAAAAAATAGAGATGTATGAAAAAGAGAGATATTCAAAGATGGAGAATGAAAGAACAGAAAGTGAAAAGATTGAGTGGAAATGAGAGTGAACGAAAAAGAGAGAGAATGAAAACGATAGAATGGACGAAAAAGGAAATGAAAAAGAGAGAATGTGGAAAAGAAAGAGAGTAAAAACACAGCGGGTGTTTGTGAAAAGATTAGAGTGGACATGAGAGTGGAAAAGATAGAGAATGAAAAAGAGAGTGAGTGAAGAAAAAAGAAAGACATAGAGAGTGAAAACGATAGAGTGAACGAAAAATGAAAGTGGAATAAAGAAAACGAAAAAGCGACAGAGAGAGCATTAATAAAAAAAGAGAATGAAAAAGAGTGTAAGTGAATAAGAGAGAGAAAAAGAGAAAAATAAGTAAAAAAGAAAGTGAGAGAGAGAAGGAGAGGGGGAAGTGTTGGACTTCATTGAAATTTTATCTGTATTTGTTCTAAAAATATAGATAAATTTATCACTGGAAACATTAGTAAAACAATACTGACGAAAACGTTCCTCAGTAGTTTCAATGCACAGTCATTTATTTATGACTTGGGGGTACCTCGGTGTAGTGTAATGGTCAACAAGCATGTCCCGTAAGAACAACTACGATCCCAACTGGGTGTCCCATACTTTCGGTCTTGTGCCACATCTAAGTTACCCTTAGAAACTCACCATTTACTTACTACTTGGAACATCCAAATGGATGTCTGGAGAAATCATTTATTTCCTGTCTGCATCAGCTGTCGGTGTTCAAACATACTTACAAACAGGATTTTGAATGTCGATTTTTCAAGCATGCAATCGCTACCGGCTAGTCATTGCTAAAATTGGCGCTATATAGTCTTTCTACTCCATACCAAACTAATCTAAGTTTGGTATAGTGATACTTACGAAGTACACAAGTTCACAGGTTTGGGGCACCCAATGAAAAACAAGTTCATTTCTATTGTAAGTGAGACTAATTCTTTAACGAATCCTCGAGGTATTTTCTCGTGGTGTAATGGCTAACAAGCCTAATTGTCTAATTTACAATTACTACTAAGTAGTTATGTCGATCCTCACTGGGGGTTTCATACGAAATTCAAAATTAAATAACCCAAGTGCTGGAATGTTGTAAAATCAACCACCCATCTCGATTTGAGGTAATGGTTAACAAGTCTAGGCGGGTTACTAAAAAATTCGATCATCACTAGGTGCCCTAAACAAAATTTACCATTAAACTGATTGATTGGTTTGTTTTTACGGCTTATCAACCTTTTGAAGGTTATTTAAAGCCAGAAAATGTGTAAGAATTTTTTTGAGATAATAATGATCTTACTGATACAAGGCTTACTATTTAATCCATAGCTGGGGAGGAAGAGAAGAGATGGATTAATACATTTCCCAATGGGCTTTTCGCGTTTTCAAATCCGACCCGTTATTCATTACACTAGCCTCAAATTCAAGCGTACAGCTCCTGATATTCCCATGCAGTTACCCGTCTATGTTGCTTAACTTCTGTGATAGATTTAACATCAAATAACCTAAAGAGGGTTCACGAAATCAACCAACGTGCAACTAATGTTTTTCAGCAGTGCAGGCGAAAATAAATAAAACTATTATCCGTAATGTCCAGCATATATATGTTTGAAATTAGTGATTTTAATAAATTAATTTCCACTCTTGCAGATACGCATGTTTGTTAGAAAAGAGGATGAGATGATTTTAATGCATGCGCGCTTGCGTTCTCTTCATAAATGGATAAGAAAATAAATAAAATAAAAAAAAGCCACGTTAATCGTAGCCGGCAGGCTGGTCTCTCTGCTGGCATACGCTCCAATAAAACTCTTTTGATTGCTTTGGGAAACTGAAAACCTCTTGCTACAAAACAAATCCATCAGTCGCGTTTTTTTTTTTTTTTTTTTTTTTTTTTTATTCTTCCCTCTCTCCTCCGCCCCTTTCCACCATGTTATTTTCTTACCCATTTTCGCTTTCTTTTTCTCTTATTCTTTCTTTTTTACTTTCTTTCTTTCCTCCCTTCTTTCTCTCTTTTTTCTTTATTAATTCCTTTATTCTTTCTTTCTTTTTTCTTTCTTTCGTTCTTTCTTCTTTCCTTCCTTCTTTCTGTCTTTCTTACTTTCCTTCTTTCTTTCTTTCTCTCTTTTTCTTTATTAATTAATTTTTCCTTCTTTATTTTTCTTTCTTTTCTTCTTTCTTTCTTTTTCTTTCCTTCCTTCATTCTCCCCTTTCTTTATTAATTCTTTTTTCGTTTTTCTTTCCTCCCTTCTATCTTTTTGTTATTTTCCTTTTTTCCATCCTTCTTTCTCTCTTTATGAATTCCTTTTTTCTTTATTTATTTCATTTTCATTCCTTCCTTCGTTCTTTTTCATTCTTTTTTCTTTCTTTCCTTGTTTGTTTGTTTCTTTCCTTCTTTCTTTTTTTCTTTCCTTCTTTTTCTCCTTTATTTCTTCTCATCCAAAATTATTTCTTGTTTTTTTTTCCACATCTTATTTTGTTTTTTTCAAGGTTCTCTGCTTTTTCTCAGACATGTTCTTTTTTTCTTTCTCTTTTTTTTTCTCTTTCTTACATTTTTTTATCCCTTTTTTGATTTACACTTTCGTCCAGCAAATATTTTCTGATTTTTATCTCTCTTCTCTACTCACTCTTTTTACCTTGTTTTTCTTCTTTAAACCGATAATCCCTATCATTTCCCTCCCCTCTCACTTTATCACTTCTTTCTCGTTTCCTCTCCCTCTCTTTTGCTCCAAATCATTTTACGTTTCCTTATCGTTTATCCAATTGTCACATTTTCATCTCTCATTCGTCTTCACTCGTCCTACTCTCTCTCTCTCTCTCTCTCTATCTATCTATCTATCTATCTATCTCTCTCCCAATCCCTTGTTTCTTTCTTTCGCTTTAAATTCCCATAACTACAAGGCAAATCAGTGTCTTCGTGTCCCTTGCCTTTCTTTCTCATTGTTTTGCCAATTCCTTATTTTTTATTCACCCAACATCCGAGATTTTCTTTCTTTCTTTCCTTCTTTCTTTTTTCTTTCTTTCTTTCTTTCTTTCTTTCTTTCTTTCTTTCTTTCTTTCCTTCTTCCTTTCTTTTTCTCTCGCTTTTCCACACGAAACGGACTTTCGCTTTCTCTTCATCTATTATTTATTTATTTGATTTAATTGATTTGTTTATTTAGTCTATTTATTTATTTTCCTTTGGGCCTAACATCAGATTTCTTTCTTTCTTTGCCATAAAAATGGCCCTTCTTTCTCTCTTTCGTTCGTTCTTTCTTTCTTTTTCTTCCTTTCTTTCTTGCCTTTGGCTCTAACATGAAATTTTTATTTATTTTTTCTCTTTCTATGTCACTGTCTTTGCCGTAAAAATGGCTCTTCTTTCCCTGTTTCTTTCTTTCTTTCTTTCTTTCTTTCTTTCTTTCTTTGCTTACCTTTGACTCTACCATGAAATTTTTGTTTTTATTTTCTCTTTCTTTGTTATTGACTTACAAATGGCCCTTCTTTCACTCTTTCTTTCGTTATTTCTTTCTTTTTCTTTCTTTCTTCCCTTTTTTCTTTCTTTCCTTGCCTTTGACTCTACCGTGAAATCTTATTTTCTTTTCTCTTTTTTTGTCATTGCTTTATCATAAAAATGGCCCGTCTTTCTCTCTTTCGTTCGTTCCTTCTTTCTTTCTTTCTTTCTTTCTTTCTTTCTTTCTTTCTTTCTTTGCCTTTCACTCTAACATGAAATTTTATTTCTTATTTTCTCTCTCTCTCTCACCTCTCTTTCTTTCTTTTTTGGTTCTGACAAAAAGTTTCTTTCTTTCTCCAACTCTTCTTTCTATTTTATTAATTCTTCTCCCCCTTTCCAATTTTTCTCTTCATTTCATTCTTTCTTTATCACTTCCTTTCCACTCACTCCCACCTCTACTTCTTTGTGTCCTTCACTCTGTCACCTTCTTTCTTTTCTCTCTTTTTCATTCTTTTTCCAGCCCGTCGACACTCTTTTTTTTTTCTTTCCTTCTTTTTGTTGACTCAGATAAATGAACATAGAAACAACGATATTTTGAACTTTCTAAATGTCATCGGCTTTCTTTCTGCTCTCTGCCCTTTCGCCCTTTACAGTCCCTCCTCCTCACTCAACTTTTCTCCTCCTCCTTATTCATTTCCTCATCTTCCCCCTCTTACTGGTCTTTTTTCTTTTTCTTCTTCTTCTTGATTTATGCTTGCCACAACATCTTGAGTGTCAACAAACTTAGTGGTTTGCATCCCGTTCTATAAAATAACATGTGACGGCACATACACACACTATAATCCCCACATAAATGAGCACATACACATGCATACGCAAACAAATGCATACATACAAATGCACACACATGTTAGCATGAGAGTATAAACACACACAATTTCTCACATTTGTCGCATATATATATATATATATATATATATATATATGTATATATATATATATATATATATATATATATATATATATATATATATATATATATATATATATATGTATATATATATATATATATATATATATATATATATATATATATATATATATATATATATGAAGATAATGAGGACGCATTTCATAAGTTCATCTCCTACGACTACTGGTGATTTCACGTCTTACGATGGCCTATTATTTATTGCAGTCTTGTGCCAACCTAACGTAACTTTAGTAACTATCTACTGCCATGGGATAGCGAGTGGGTGCCAGCTTGTAGAATTGAATCATCCTAATTGGTCGCTCCACTAACAAAGACGTTAACCGGCTTCAAGAAAAAAATATCAGCCTATGAATGCCTTCGCGGGAAAACGTTTTTGTCTAATTCTATTTTGGCAGACATTAAAATGACTTCTTATAACTCAGATTCCGTTTTGCAGTCCAGTTGGAAAGGTACACAGATGCCAAATATACAAGCCTGAGAAAATATTTACCACATTTAAAGCACTATATTCCGACTTTCACATATTTGAAAGCTTATTTCTTTTCAGTACGGTCTGAAATAACAACAGCTTTAATCAAAAAGCATATCAACTGTGATTCGATGGGCTGTTTAGTTATTCGCACTGAGTGAACCAACTACCCTGTTTTTTTTATTCATATTTTGCTTTAATTATTTCACACCAAGCAAGGCGATAATGCCACTAAGATGTAGGGGATTGCAGGGAGTGAAAGAGAATTAAAAGACTTTAGTGAGGAGAAAGTTCAATAAAGGAATAGGTTTTAGGAATACAGAAGATGGCGGTTGGCGTTGCATTTAAATTCTTTAGAATTTTAGGCGGCAGTGAAAAGAGAATAGGAAGACTTTAGTGAGGAGAAAGGACAATAAATAAACAGGTTTCAGGAAGAGATAAGATGACGATTGGCGTTGCATTTATATTCTTTAAGATTATAGGTGGCAGGGAAGCAAGAAACCGGGAGAGAGTTCCACAGTTGAGAAATGCGAGACTATGAACTATTATAAGTGACGATTACATTTAATTTGGTCAGCAATTAAATGATTAGACCTAAATTCTAATCTAGCGGCACGCTTAATTTCATGCTTTCGATGCACCAAGGTGAAGAGCTCATTAGAACAACTGCCATTAAAATATGTATAGAAAAAAAAGAGGGAAACTACGCCACGGTGGTGAGAAAGTGACTGATGTCGAGATGCCAGGTCAGGACGGATAACTTTACAGACCCTTCTCTGAATTTTCTCAAGAATCTTGAGCAATATAGTAGGAGCACTAGACCAGATACGCCAAACCGAAATAGATAAGTTCACTTATCATCTTGTTCATACTCTTTCCCGGTTTTTGAACAGGGTTAGAGATTTGTCCCTTATTTCCTGTTTAGGATTGGGTTTCCGGTTCCTTCTAAAGTTTACTTCCACTCTACACTTCTAACGTCTCCGACTGAACTCTGAAATTTTATTCACCAATTCTTGACCTCTTCAAGTCTAGAGTTCACCGTTATATTTCTTGCATAGCCCCAAGAACTTCACGTCTTGCGCTTTCTGATGCTAATAAAACACCATACAGTAACCCTCTACCTTGAGTGGCGCTTTGGCCTTGTATTGGGTGAATATTAGTAAAAAAAAAGTAATCTTATATGCTATCAATTAATCTCTTCTGATTAAGTTTTTCCCTCTCTGTTACTTGTTGACTACGCTTATCATTCAATCAAAGGGTACGCTTATAAAGGACTTCAATTACATTTTTCTGTCTGTTCGTCTTAGTTTCTCCAGACCCGTCGGCAGAGGGTTTTGACGACCTTTAAGTCGCTAGGCGGCGAGAAAGGGCGTGAATCCGCACAACCACTTGAACGGAATTCTTTTATACTGTTGTTCACCTACTATAAGGCTCAAGAGCCACTCAATGCAGAGGGTTAGTGGATGAGGTTATTGTATAGATGTAGTTATTTATTTTTTATGGCTTATCAACCCTTTGTGGATTGTTTAAATTCGAAATATATTTCGGATTATATGAGGTTTCTTACAATATCTGGGGAGAAAAGAGATGGATTCCTACCTTTTCCAAGGATATTTGCGCGTAAGTAAATATAACGAAACCAAGGGAAATTGGAACTCGGATCTCCGATTAACAATTCCGAGACATTATCCATTACACCAACCGCACATCCAAGCTCACAGTATTAGCATTCCCAAACGATTCCCCATCTAATACTAACCGGATTCGACACTGCTTAACTTCGGTGATCGAACGAGAACCGGTTTTTTCAACGTAATTTGACCATAGACTATAAAAAGTATATTAAGAAGTGATTATTATAAGGATATGTGGGATAGATAACGGTTAATTCTGGACTTATGACCGTAGTGATCGAGAAAGCATCCCCTTGGGAGTCTGTTCCACAAAGTAGCGGTTCTGTGAAAGTCGGAAATTTCTCCTTGCCAATAGTGTACGTGGCATGGTAGGCCCTAGGGTTAAAAATCTGAACAGGTGGAACTATGTTTGTCAAAAGGCCAAATTTAAAGTGGGGATCCCACGTGGGACCAGAGTTAAAAAAAAAATATTCCAGTCTCCTCGTGAATTTCCCCTTTTGGGGATCCCTCAAAAACCAAGTGGAGAAGGTATCTAGCTGAGATTAAACTTAAAGAGTTAATGTGAATCAAAAGACATAAATGCTAAAGGATTTATATGAATTTTACACTCAGTGTCAGATGAAAGTAGTTCACATCTTTTTCACAGCAGTGGAGGTAATTTTCTGGAGGTACCAGGCCTCCACTATGAACGAAGGAATTTCTCCTCAATGAAATATTTTGGCTGAGGTGGATTTCGAGAAAATAAGACAAACTTTTAGTAGAACAAATTTTGAAGCAAATAAATATTTATTCCAATTAGGTGGATACACATTGTTTGTGTATTTCTGTAAAGGGAAAATAAATATTTAAAAAAAAACTACAGATAAATAGGAACACGAATCGCGTGACTCATTAGGGTCTAAGAGACACAATATAGCGATTTTCTAAGCCCGGCTTAGATGTGGCACGCAGTGAGAATCGAACTCACTACTCAGTCGTAATTGATCTAGTAAGACAAGCTTTCTACCCATTACACCAAGCCGAGGTACCCCTAAGAGGCACAATATATATGGTTGACTGGTTGATTTTGTTTAACGGCATATCAACCTCTATAGGCTATTTAATACCGAAATCTAAATCTAATATTGATCGCAATTTTATGGCTTCAACTAGAGATAAAACGGGACCTTTTCTGTTAATTCAACCCAAATAATGTAAAGTTACTTATCGCAAATATTAATTCACCCCAAGAAATGATAAATTTTAAAATCAGTTTGTTTTGGGGTTTTTTTTATTAAATTTTTGGCACGCTTTTGAAATTATAAATTTTAAATCAAAATCTTTTTAGCTTGCCCCCAAACAACTGAGAATTAAAATTTACCAAATATTAAGGAGTTATTCACATTTCGTAAGTCGAGATACTTACAAGGAATTTTTTACAACTAAAAAAAAATCTTTTTTTGGCTTGTTTATCGGAGTTAGAGGAATGTAACCCCCCCACACTTAAAATTAGCGCACACAAATTTGGGGTGATCAGAAAGGTCAATCCAACCGGAGTGCAATGGAAGGGGCTCGCTCTTGGGAGAATTTGGTGTGAATTTACGAAATATAATTTTTTTGTGTGGTAGGGGGGCGTGAATTAACAGAAAAGATCCGATAAAATGTATTTTTGGTCATTTTGCTATAAAATGTATTTTTGGTAATTCTACGATAGAATATATGGCTAATATACCTTAATATAAAATGTATTGCGAGTCTTTTGATTTAAAATTGTATTGTTGATAATTTTACTATAACTCTGTATTGTTAGTCATATTTTTTATAGAAATGTATTGCTAGTATTTTTACTACAAAAATGTATTTTTATACTATCATAGTGTTTCTTTTTTATTTGGAGGATCACTTTTTTGTCTATAGCTGGGACCCTACCAGATGCTACCACCCCGAGTCTGGTGGTAGCTGGGAACAAACCGCATATAAGAGATGGTTCCTTTGCCTACCTATCACCCCTAGTAACAGAACAGTTTATATCTTACGCCTACGTACGGAAAACTTCAACCAATAAAAACCGTACTAGGCGAATCAACAATTCTCATTGGTTAACGACACAATAATCCTGAAGTTTCACGTGCAAAACGAAATTGCGCCAAAACTTCTTTGAGCCGATTTTGGACTTTCAAAACATATAAAAGAAAACGCCGACTTACCAAAACAGTCAGAGACGAACATCCACAGAGAAATTGCCAACATACTCCACGTCCTGAAATCACGATTTTACCGCGCAAAAGTACATCAACGCTGACTCATTGCAATTTTAAACTCAACCAACTCTGTGGACATCGAATCACAAACCTTGCTTATCCAAAGTGAATTATATTCACTACCTATTAAGTAAAAATCAACGTGCGAACGATTTAGAAATATTACAGTCAAAGATTGATCACTCCATAAGAATTCCTTCCAAAAAAAATTAACATCGACATTTTTAATATCAACACAAATCTAGAAAGACTGTAAATGAACAAACGAATACTAAGAGAGACATACTGAAATCTAAAATATCACACACACTTTGCCATAGTAACATATACCAAATATCCTGTTTGTATATTACTTTGAATTGTATATAAATGTTTTATTGGTTTCTAAATTGAATATGTCTTGTTTTTGATCGAATTTAAAATTCGTTTATTTATTTGTTTGTGGATGCAGAAAGTCACGCAACCTACACAAATTCCTTCTGATTCTCTCAATTATAATTAATAAATTCTGCACATCCCCAACAGGTCAGATTGAAAGAAAGACAAAACTGTATATAAGGATAAATGCGTTGGAATCACTGAGGATAAGTGGCTAATGGTATAAATCTGATCGCAGCCCTGGCCAAACTGTAGAGCGAGTCTGTCTGCCTGTTTGTCTATATTATTTAATGAAACATGCATCAATGAAAAATATATATAATATATATATATATATATATATATATATATATATATATATATATATATATATATATATATATATATATATAATATTATAATAAATGATATATATATACATATAAATATAAAATAGTAAAAAAAATTAACATTAAAATATTCTAAATATATAATAGGTGCATATATACATACATGTATATTTTTTTAATAAAAATTTCAAGAGGATAGAATCAGGTAGAACTCAATGTCCAGGATAGAATGAGGATATAATAAAAAAGGCTTAAACACTAAACCTTTTTATTATATATATATATATATATATATATATATATATAATATATTTATATATATATATATAGGTCATATGTACATATATTAGAGCATTTTTTTAATTTCTTTTTATGTAGTTGTACATACAGGCATACGTATAACCACTCAATATACTGGGTGCAATGGATAAATTGTCGCCATTTTTTTTCCGCAACATTTCATTGTTTGTTTTTGATTTTGTCGACTGCACAGTATAGTAGGGTCAGTTACGCAGCGTATCTGAGAAAAAGACCACCATGACGCTATACACTCCACCAGAAAATTGGAGACGGCATGCTGTACTGCTTGGTATTCGCATAACGGAAGATATGAACATTTCATAGTGTTTGGGTGTCAATCTGAGGACAGTGCAGAGGATTCGGAAAGAGTTGGATGAGTCTAATGGTGATTACGAAGGTACTTTCTTGAAAACTCACTAGTGAACGTTATACCTCCATTCATCTTCCCACAGGGCCTACTCAACAAGAGACACAGAGTGCCTTGAAGACGTAGTATTGCCCTGGGTCAAGACAGTGGCTGCTGGAAGACCCTATGTCTGGCAACAGAACTCTACACCATGCCACACAAGCAGGAGAACCCAGTCAGGGCTGTCAGACAATTTCTGCGACCACATCACCCCTTACATCTGGTCACTTAACTTCCCAAATTGCAGCCCCCTTGATTATTATGTATGGGGCGCAGTTGAGCAAGAGACCAATAAAACTCCTCGTTACACCAAAGCTGAACTGAAGACAAGGATTATGGCAGCATTCATCAACTTAAACAAAGAGAACGTCCAGAAGAGGTGCATATGTTGTCTGTGGGCCGTAGTGGAAACCAATGGCAATTATTAGAATAAATAGTACTTTTTAGTATTTGAACATTTTTTTTTGTGTAATTTTGGTAAATATATCTGTTAAAATAAGATGTCGGTGTTATTTTCATTTTTGTGTAATTTAGACGAAAAATTATCCATCGCACCATACGCACAAATATATATATACATATTCATTATATATATATATATATATATATATATATATATATATATATATATATATAATTAAAAATTCAAAATTATAACCATTATTTTTAAATAAAATCATTACAAAAATAGCCATTTTTTCTTCAACACTTCCAGTGTCTTATCAAAAGAAAATGGTTTTTCAAGGATAAATTTTTAAATATTTATAATGTATATTATGTATGGATAATTTCATTGAATAAATAATTATATTTTCTAACTTTGTATTGAGCACATATTTAAATATAGTATTTGTTGGTTATTGAATTTTTTCTATATACACATATCTTATTTTAATATATATATATATATATATATATATATATATATTATATATGTATATTTTAAAAAATGTGTGTGTGTGTGTGGTTTCATGCTTTGAAAATTGCGTTTATTAGAGAATTATTTGCTTAATCTGTTGGATTTAAATTCTTACTTCTCTACTAGGAAATATTCTCTATGTATATATTAATTTGTTTATTCTAAATTTGTACATACATACCTAATCAGGTTAAATACATATATTATTTATTTGATGTATATGTCAAACATTTTTTTCATGTTCGTGTGTTTCCTTTTGCTTGACGCCGATGTGTTTCTCTTTGTACTTTTGCAAATGGCTAATCCTAACAACGCAGTCCTGTCCCACACCTCGTCTGTTGGTGCTGTTCACATCTTTGGCCTTACATGTCTAAAATACAATTTAATGTCTTTCGGAGATAACTCGTTCATAAATTGTACACACTCAGCATTCAGTCCCAGGTGACGTAATGGCCAATTATCTCCCTTGGCTTGCAAGATGAGGTCATTTAGTACGAAATTTAAATCCTAACTTAACATTTACTAACCAGCCAAGTCGAAAGGAAAAATCTTTCTTTCTAATAAAAGTAGAAAGTCTATTAAATTAGTTGCCACTTGTCTGACACAACCAGAATTGCGTC